TATGTTATTGAAGCAGTTTGAAGATCAAGAAGGGAAATTGAGGGCTACACCTTTGTTAAAATCCTACAATGTTAATTTTATGGATATAGATTCAAGTATTATTTACATAGAGGACATGTTTGTATAAAAAAAAAGATTCAAAGATAATGCAAATAGGTCCCAAGAGCTCCCATACTACCTAGATAAAAACCTCTTATATATATATAACGGGGAAGGCGACATCATACCATTCCTCCGTAGGAATGTGTATTTATTCACATGGGAATCCCTTGGCAATCCTAGAAAGACATGAATACATCGTGTCATCACTTTGCCATCAAGCTCGGATTCAAGTTGTTCGCTTAGAAGAAGCGAAAAGAGGGTAAAGAGAAGTGAACAAAAATCTATAAAGAGGTAAATAAATTTAAATAAGCCAAATTCATACAAGAAATCAAGTATCATACTTTATTGGCAAGAATGGTGATAATGAAGAAGCCATATGGAAAATCACATATGTGCGTCGCCTTCACCAACCTTAATCAAGCATACCCTAAAGACTCATACCCACTGCCAAATAATAGGCTAGTTGATGGAGTCGTGGGTTACCAGATACTTTGTTTCATGGATGCATACTCAAGGTATAACTAGATAAGGATGATCCCCGACAATGCACCCAAAGTAGTGTTCATGAAGACCCAAAAACTTATTACAAAGTCATTCTTTTTGGCATTTAAAATGTCTAAGTTAACTATCAAAGGTTGATGGATATCATCTTTGATGACCAGATCATCTACAATCTTGAATGTTATATTGATGACAAGGTGGTAAAGACCCCTCAGACACAAAGTGGTTGACTGATAGGAAGTAGGGAACATTAAGAGCTATAACTCTATGAAGTTAGAGAAACTCAAAGCATATACTGATGCATCTGTTCCGAAGGAATTTTTTATCTTACACCAATGTAAAAGTACTTTTAAACCAACCAACAAGATAAAGCAGAGTAAAAGTACGCTTTTAAAAGGCAGAACAGGGACACAATAAATTTCAGATCTTTAATACACGAGGATGCTAGCTAGTTACCAAGCTCGAACTATGAAAAACCCGACAAGGAAAACAATTGCGACTCGACGCCCTATGCATTTTGAACCTATGCACCTCGTGCTTGGGAAACTATGTAATGTCATCGTCTCTCATTCAAAGCATTTCACCCATACCTGCCTCGTGCTTAGGGGACCATGTAATGTCATGGTCTTCCATTCAAAGCATTTTCCCCTTACTCTCCTCGTGCTTGGGAGACTATGTAATGTCATGTTTGAAAGAGAGTAATCTTATCATGATAATTAGTCTTCTATAAATTTGTATTTGATAAGATTCAAATTGAAAGAAGTGAAATGAATATTATGATTTACTAAAATTTTAAAGGGAAATTGCGATACAATACGCAGTGAAAAATGAAAATTTCTCTTGCGGTGATTAAAATTTTTGATGCATAATTGAATGGACGATCTCGAGCGATGAACAAAGAAAAATGCCTCTACTCATTCCACACGAATAGAGTGCCTTCAATATCAATGCTAGCTTCTACGGACCTTGAGATAAAGAGAGAAATATAGAAAGAGGGAGAGAGAGAGAGAGAGAGAGAGAGAGAGAGAGAGAGAGAGAATACGATTAATCTTCAACATCAAATTTCATTAAGTATCAAAGCTTATGAATAAGGGTTTTATTTATAGAACCATTTGTATGGGATAAAAGCTAAGAAAACCCACTTAAGTGTATCATACTTTATGGTGTACTATATTTTTCTTAAGTGCACAATACTTTATCGTATTCTTTATTCGAATTAAGTTCATTATACCTTACGGTGTTCTACAACCCACTTAAGTACATTATACCTTATGGTGTTCCTTATTTCACTTATTGATTCTATCTCTGGTCAATTTATTCTTATGTGCGTGACCCTATATGTTCTCGTGACGTTGGAAATCATATTAAATTGCATATTTAATATAATAAATAAATAGTGAGCGGTATCTAGTAAGACATCACTGCTACCCAAGTCACAAAAATATCATACGATGTGACAAAAACATTCCGTGATAATGCTTGTGTATATAATTACCCTTTTGCCCTCATGTCTATATTGAACACAAGGCATAGACTGTGTCACCATTATCCACTTTAATATTGGACCCTTAGACATGTATCCTGTTATACAGGATGGGAAAATTCCATCTAGGGTACTCGTGTCCCTTAACGTGATTTGTGGAGTATCCATCAACTGTCTTCATGGTCACACTACGCCAAAAACTAGTTTTGGCACCGCTACATAGACAGCGCTTATGCAAAAGCGCTGCTGTAGGTATCCAAAAAAAAATACTTTAGACAGCGCTTACTAAAAGCGCTGCTATAGGCCTTATCAAAGGCAGCACTTTTTCTCCCTAAGCGCTGCTATAGGGTTTTAAAAAAATTAAAATTAAAAAATTAATAAAAGCGCTGCTAAAGGGTATGCTTTAGACAGCACTTTCAAAAAGCACTGCTAAAGGTGTAAGTCTAAAAGCGCTGCTAAAAGGGGGGTAAACCTAAAGCGCTGCTAAAGGGGGTACCTTTAGCAGCGCTTCTTGAAAGCGCTGCCTTTGTGTAAATCTAAAAGCGCTGCTAAAGGGGGGGTAAGCCTAAAGCGCTGCTAAAGGGGGGTACCTTTAGAAGCGCTTCTTGAAAGCGCTGCCTTTGGTTTGTTAATTTATTTCTAAACCCCTAACCCCTAAATCAGATTTCCAGAAACACAAATCGTTGTTCATCTTCTTCTCCATTCGTCATCTCCATTACTCCCTTTGTTCCGTCATCTCTCAAACCCTCCTCTCAACCACTTCATCTTCATCGTTACCAACCACCACCATCAATTTTCAACCGTCTCCATCCTTCATCCCTTCGTCGTTCTCTAACCATTACCCTCCGCCTCGCATCAACGGCACAATCACCAACACCAGCAGCCTCCTCCGTTGCATCACCTTCGAATCTTCGGCCCACGGCTAATTTATTTTTTCAATCTAAGTAAGTGTTCTTCTTCTCCTCATATTCACCGACTCCATGTTACGTAACATGAATGAACAAAGAATAATATATATTTTTGAATTTTCACTAAGAATAATCAAAATCAACAAAAGAGGGTTTGGGATTTGGAGTATTCATCTATTACAAAATGAGGCAAAATCTCTCACGTGGAACCATGAATTTTTTTTGGGGGGGGGGGGGGGGGGTTGGTGTTGTTTTAACGAGAGATTTTGTGGTACGTCGCTGTAAGATGATGTTTGTTTGTTAGAATTGTTGTCTGGAAATTAACCCTAAAAAAAGTGATGAATCATGCTTGGAAGTTAAAGATCTTTTTAAGGCAAATAGCATGTAGTTCAGTTAGATTTGAATGTTTTTCTTAACAAAATTTGATATACTATGGTTAAAATGCTTAGGTATCCAATTTGTTCATTCGACTTTTACGAATATATATATAACGCATATAACATACTAAATATTAATATTAAAAATACAGGGTTGGATTACTCAAACGGTGAAATTCTAAAAATACTCTTAAATTTCAAATTTTAAAATTTGAAAGCGTTTGTTTGTCGATTTAGTGAACAATAATGATGGTGTTGATCAAAATACATGGAATGAGTTCGAAACTCTAGTGCAGGAGGTTAGTATGTTGGAATACGAGTCAGATGCGTATGAGTGGTTGAAAGAAGACGACATAATCTTTAAGGTGAAATCTTGTGTTGATCTCTTCTAGGACAGTATCTTCGATCCTTCTATTTCCGCAGAAACCCTGACAGCTATCAATAGGTTGTGGGAGAATCAAGCCTCGTCGAAGTTCCAGTAGGTGTAGTAGTAGTAAGAACAAGAACCATCCAATCATCCTCAGAATTAAGTCCAACTCTAGTGTACTTTGAATTGTTGAGAAACTTTGCATAGATATCATTATGAGTGTAATTAGATAGCACAACAGTTTGTTCATATGAGTATTCACAATATCACCCCATAATAGCCTTCTATTTTCCAAATCATTACAAGCATAGATAGCAGTTAACCAGAAGTTTTGATTCTACAAAGAGAATAAGTTTAAACAGCTTCAACTTACCAATCTTAACCCTCACATTCTGATTCACCTTAATATTCAGAGGTAAATTACCTTTCTCTTGCAGCTGCTGCTGCAAAGTATTTACTAAACCAATTGCATCTTGTGTTTGACCCGTTAAAGGTAGATTAAGCACGGTTATATTCCGATGACCCTGATAGAAATTCGGCAAAGACCCTTCACATAATTCTGTTTCTTTATATAAAGCACTTATATTGCTTCCACTTACATAATATATTCCAATCTTCTTGTTTGGATTTCTAACAGTTACTGTTACATCGAAGGTAACAAAAAGATTGTTATTATCAGATAGATTGAACTGTGCTATTCTCAATCTGTCTACTGAGTATTTAGGAAGCTTTGGCCTAAAAACAAGGTAGAGTGTTCCAATGGTGATGGATATTGCAATAATAAGAACCAGCAATATGGTGAAGGTACAGCACAGGAACCTGCAGCAGCAACTTCTTTTCTTCTTCGGTGGCTGGGAGTGCCTCACTGGAAAGTGACGTTTCGGAATAGGTGGATCGCGTCCATCGGATTTTGAAGTGTTTCTAGGATACAAAGGAATTGTTGGTTTGGTTTGTGACTCCAAATCATTAGCAGGGTGAATTCTCTGATGATCTGTCATCATATTTTGTTATCAGAAAAGTTGGCTCAAGAAAAAGTGTGTGTGATTTAAAAGCTGTCATCATATTTTGTTTCTAAGATTGGTAAAGTTTCACATAGATTGTATGACTTATAAGGTCAAGTACAACTCAAAGTTCTTAAGTACTGGAATAAATTTTTCTGTGGCCACATGGAAGTGCATCAAATTGTCTATACTGATAAAATCAGAAGTTCACACTAAATTGACAGAATTCTATTTCTATTACTCCACTGTCTATCTGCAATGTTACAAGAAAAGTTTTCTGTATTCCTCTGCCTCTTGTGACATCTCTTCCGCGCTCCTGTCTTTCCTCTCCTTATCCAAATCAAGTTTTTCCTTCAATTCCTTCTCCTTTTCATCCATCTGAATCAAATTCAAAAAGGAAAACAAAGAATAAGTGATAAGATAGAGACCGGATTAGAATCAACAGCATGGCATTTAAGAAAACATATATCTTACTGCATCATATATCTCGTCATTCTTCTCAAAATCACCACCTTTCCGCGGGACAACATGAATGTGAACATGAGGTACTGTCTGTCCTGCTTGGGGCCCATCCTGAAGTTCAGAAAAATCAGTAAGCCAAAGTGAGTGAAAATCTTAAAGCAGAATTAATTTAATGCAAAACAGTTAGTGAAAGAAATGGTTAAATGAACATATTTCACTTTAATCTTACTTGGATGGCCAAAGTGAGTGATGAAGCCTTGTGGTAGCTCTCAAGCTGCCTGCCTACTTTTTGTGCAGTGAGCCATAAATCAGAAGTCTCCTCAGCAGTTAGATCAAGAAAACGCTTAACTTCGCGCTTTGGACAGATAAGCACATGTGAAAACTGTTAAGGCAAATGCTTCCATACTCCTCTAGATTCAAGCTTTACAATTTTCGAGAAATTATAAGAAAGAACCCATCCATTCATCCACTCGTGCTGGTGCTGCAAGATTCCTATTCAATTTGCTTCTCACCTCTATGATAATACATATTTTTGAATTACAAATTTAATCTTGTAAAGAAATTACATATAAGTATAATATAAGAACAGCCAACTAGTTTAATTGAAAAAAAGGATAACATATTATATTTATGTATAGCAGCCGCTAGTAAGTATACAAGTAAACCTTTTACTAACAATGACATGACCCTTTCGAAACAAAAATAAGAAAAAAAATATGTGGGAGTTACAAATAATATTGTAATGTTAGCTAGTGGTGTGGTTTGATCTATATAGTAATATTAATTTTTGATTCTTCTCTTGCTGGCTCGACCCTACCTCTAATGGGTTACCCCTGCCACAATCGGAATTTTTGCAGGCTCAATACAACCACCATTACCACCATCCTCGTATAGAAACTTGTGTACAATCCTAAGACTCTTCGCCAACACACGATCCTCCCAATTATCTTCCTTAAGCACAACCTCCGTAGCATCAAGACGGTGCATGTTCTTTTTCCATATACCATAAAGCCTATGAATCTTCTCAACTTGTTTACTCGCAAGCTTACAGTTATTCACTTTAAGAGCATCAGTAGCTACTTCTAGAAGCTTCTTCATAGTTCTTCCATCTGTTAGACCTTGTGACTCCGCTCTAAAAAACTCGTCAAATTCAGGTACACCAATGGCTCTTCGTATCCCTCTAGTGTAATCGTAATCAAAATCTTTTTGGTTGAAAAACTCACGAACTTCATTCACTTGACCCGCTTCAATCATGCGATCCACACGTGAGGATAAAGACGAATGAAGCACGGGAATAGAAACATCCACCCAAAGAAAACAACATTTGTACTTCATACGAAACAACATTCATACTATTATATGCACAACAAATGTATCTGCAATTCCAACATCTTCAAACCAATATATGCAAGACATAAATAGATCCTTTAACCTTCATATGACATATCAAACAATCAACAATTTAGCTATTATGCATTGGATTTTTTTACTTTTTGAGTCTTGCTTATCTCTAAGATTTAATTTTACTAGATGGTGATTTTAGCTTAAGCAATGTGTCCACGATTAATAGTTTTGGTCTTGTTAGTTTTAAATTGACGATAATGAATTTCCTGCACTTCCACCGGTTAATCTTTGATGTATTGTTTTTATAATGAATGATACAGAAAATCAAGATGTTAGAATAGTGCATCACCAGAATTTGAATAAGAGAATTCTACTAGCATTGATTGCTTCTTCTGCTCTTGCTGGAATCTTCATCTTCTTATTGTTTCTCTTCTTACGGTGAAATAGAAAATTAACAATCTCCGCGAGTAAAAGCCGAGGAACCTTAGGTATTATGGCTTCTATTCTCTCTTTTGAAACTTTTATTTTGATTTTTTTTTTAAATCTAAGATATATTATGGACTAGTCAAAATACTTGTAATGGGTTTAATAATCTTAGATTTCTCAATGATGGGAGAAGAATAAGATAGTGGAGGATTGAGTTTGTACATAGCATAGACAAACCGAGTCATAACAAAGTATAACTAGGAGATGTTGGAGTTACCATTCAACATGACACTTAATTTCCCTACATTGTTTCTTTTATGTTTCTCATAATGTATGCTTAGCTCATGTAGACATGCCTTCAAGGAACAAAGGAATCACATCATGTAAATCCCCCATCTAATATTCAACTTAGTAATAGTAAAAAATAACACAAATCATGAATCTTAGAATGAGTTCACAACTAAGCTAATGTCTCTAAAATAGTAACATTGACGATCATTGATTGAATATGTTATAGGACCACAACAATCCTCATTTCTAGAATTGTTCTAATCACATGTTTGATTTTTGTTGACAACATAGAGTCTTTAACTTAGATAATAGTTAAAACCATGGATAAAAAATGGATGTGTGCCGATCAATTGTCAAAAGAGTACGAGGATGGGGTATTAGAGTTCGTTAAGTTTGCTGTTGAACATGCTGAAGACCTGAATAGAATGAAATGTCCTTGCTTGGGTTGTTGTTATGTGGGTCGGGTTGACGCAGATGGATTGAAATCGCATTTACTAATGCGCGGAATTGATCGAAGTTATACGTGTTGGATATTTCATGGTGAGAAAAGCATCGAGAATGTTGAACCGGGGGTGAAAAGTAATGCGACCTATGTTTCGTACGACAATGCCACAGATACATATGATTGTGATCGGGTGGAAGAGATTGCAGAAGCACTTGAAGAAGATCTTCGAGATTGTCCCAAAATGTTTGAGAGGTTGGTAAGCGATGCGGAGAAACCGTTGTATAAAGATTGCCCCAAATTCACAAGATTGTCTACGGTATTAAAATTGTACAACTTAAAGGCGCGCAATGGATGGTCAGATAAAAGTTTCACACAGTTATTAGCCCTTTTGAGAGATATGCTTCCTGAGGATAATGTTCTTCCTAATCGAACCTACGAGGCCAAAAAAATGTTGTGCTCTATTGGCATGAGCTATGATAAGATATATGCATGTCTAAATGATTGTATTTTGTTTCGAAACGAATATGCATCGTTGAATGAGTGCCCAAAGTGCGGTTTATCTCGATATAAGAAAAAATTATCTCCAGCGAAAGTCTTATGGTATTTTCCTATTATTCCGAGATTTAGACGCATGTTTCATAGTGAAACCGATGCTAGACACTTGACTTGGCATGCAGATGAAAGAATTATCGATGGAAAGTTTCGACATCCGGCAGATGCACCACAGTGGAAGAAAATTGATAATGATTATCCTGATTTTGGAGGAGAAACAAGAAACCTTCGCTTGGCATTATCTACGGATGGAATGAACCCGCATGGTCTTCAAAGTATCTCACATACCACATGGCCTATGATTCTTATGATTTATAACCTACCTCCATGGCTATGTATGAAGCGCAAGTACATGATGTTATCTATGTTAATTTCTGGGCCTAAACAACCAGGGAATGACATAGATGTATACTTGAAACCTTTAATCGAAGATTTGAAGATTTTGTGGGAGAACGATGTGGAGGTTTATGATGGATATAGGAAAGAAAGTTTCAATTTGAGGGCGATGTTGTTTGGCACAATTAACGATTTTCCAGCATATGGAAATCTATCCGGGTATAGCATAAAGGTGAAAAAGCGTGTCCTGTCTGTGAAGATGGAACTGATACGACACGATTGAAACTTTGTCAAAAGAATGTCTTTCTCGGTCATCGTAGATTCTTAAATTCAAAACATCAATATCGTGGATGGAGAAAAGCGTTCAATGGAAATACCGAACAACGTAGAGCTCCACCTGGATTGACAGGTGATCAAATTTGTGAAAAGGTGAAAGATGTGAGTATTCAGTTTGGCAAGCCTTTTGCACATAAAGTTGTCACAGGTGGGTGGAAGAAGAGGTCAATTTTTTTTGAATTGCCATATTGGAAATCTTTGTACCTAAGACATTTTCTTGATGTTATGCATATTGAAAAAAAATGTATTTGAAAGTGTTATTGGTACGTTACTCAATATAAAAGGAAAGTCTAAGGATGGCCTTAAAGCAAGAGAGGACATGGTAGAGATGGGAATAAGAACTGAATTAGGACCCGTGAAGAAAGGAAGACGAACATATCTACCACCTGCTTCTTATACTCTATCTAGAAAGGAAAAGAAAATATTGTGTAAGTTTCTGAGTGAAGTTAAAGTTCCAGAAGGTTACTCCTCAGACATTAGAAGACTCGTGTCCATGAAAGACCTCAAGTTAAAGAGTCTGAAGGCACATGATTGCCATGTCATAATGGGACATTTTCTACCAATAGGTATACGTTCTATTTTGCCAGAAAAAGTAAGAAGCGCTATAACTAGATTGTGTTTTTTTTTCCAGGTCAATTTGTAGTAAGGTGATCGATCCTGAGATCTTACCAGTATTACAAAAAGAAATCGTTATTACTCTGTGTGACCTTGAAATGTATTTTCCTCCATCATTTTTTGACATTATGGTACATCTTGTTGTTCATCTTGTGAAAGAGACACAATTGTGTGGACCAGCTTATATGAGATGGATGTACCCTGTTGAACGTTATATGAAAATATTAAAAGGGTACGTGAAAAACTGAAGTCGTCCAGAGGGTTGTATCGTTGAGCGATACGTTGTTGAAGAAGCGGTTGAGTTTTGTACTGATTTTTTGTCCAATGTGCAATCCATTGGACTCCCCAAATCTCATTTCTTCGGAAAAAAAGAAGGTAACAAATTAATTGGAAATGAAATTGTGACAGTATCAAAGGATGAACGGGATCAAGTGCATTTGTATGTTCTGCACAATGACACTGAGGTTGAGCCGTTTGTTGAAATGCACAAGGCTATACTCCGAGGTGAGAATCAAAGTAGAAATGAAAATTGGATAGTACGAGAGCACAATCAAAGTTTTATACAGTGGTTTAAGGATCATATATATTCAAAGTTTCATTCAGATCTCGCTTCAATATCAGACAGGTTGAGATGTTTGGCATATGGTCCAAGTTCGATTGTGTTCTCTTATAGAGGATACGGAATTAATGGATACACATTTTATACCAAAGAACAAGATGAGAAAAGTACCATGCAAAATAGTGGTGTCACGGTGGTATGTGAAGCAATGCACATTTCTGGTATGAAGGACTTAAACCCCAAATGTGAAAATTTGTCATATTTCAGGGTTATCAATCACATCTGGGTGTTTGATTATGAGAAGTTTCAGATTCCTATCTTTGGTTGCAAGTGGGTACATACTAGTGGCATACGAATGGATAAGTCAGGGTTTTTGCAAGTGGATCTTAGTAGTGTGGGGTACAAAGATGAGCCTTTTATTCTAGCCTCTCAAGCTAAACAAGTGTTCTATGTCACAGACCCGAAGAGTACGAAATGGTCTATAGTGCTTTTATCTAACAAAGTGATTGATGATAAAAGTGTGGATCAAGTTGATGTTGATGTTGATAATGAGTTGTATATTAGAAACGATCGAGATGATGATACTACAGCGGATGAATCATATATCAGAAAAGATCATGATGAGGGAATTTGGATCAATCCCTCCGTCCGCGTTCTTAAGAGACAAGTAATTCGGAATCCAACCAAGAAAAGAAAGAGATGTTAGTGAAAGAGGTAATATATATTCCTCCATACCTGTTAACACTTAGCAAACTTCTAATAAATTATATATTTGTCATTTTATATACTCAATTGATATTTGTCATTTTATATACTCAATTGATATTTGTCATTTTATATACTCAATTGATATTTGTCATTTTATATACTCAATTGATATTTGTCATTTTATATACTTAATAGATATTTGGAATTATATATTTGGAATTAAATATTTGTCATTAGATACTAATGTTTTTCTTTATTACAGGTTAGATGGCTAGTAACGAGGAGCACCCTCACGATGATTCTATTAATGATGGAGACAATGATGGAGGAAAATCCAGTAAGGGAGTGGAAAAAGAAATAAAAAGAGGAAAAACAATAATGAAGAATATCATTCGTGATAGAGATAAGGGTATAAAATATGATGTGCATTGGAGTCCAAATGACCAATTAATTGAGCCTAACGGTTCTAAATTGACAAGTTACATTGGCACACTTGTAAGGAGAGAAATTCCAATAACTTGTGATGAGTGGAGAGATGATAAGCTGAATGATGCTAAAAACAAAATCTGGAGTGAGATACAGGTACTTTAAATTATGTCGTTAAATTATGATTATGTACTTTAAATTATGTCTTTAAATTACTTATACTAACGCACTTTGTGTATGTTTTTTGTAGAGGTCTTTCAACATTGATGACAAAAGAAAAGATTATTGTCTTGGATTGGCCGGAAAAAT